TGAGTGGTCTCAGTGTATATATACTGAGTGGTCTCAGTGTATATATACTGAGTGGTCTCAGTGTATATATACTGAGTGGTCTCAGTGTATATACTGAGTGGTCTCAGTGTATATATACTGAGTGGTCTCCAGTGTTATATACTGAGTGGTCTCAGTGTATATATACTGAGTGGTCTCAGTGTATATATACTGAGTGTGTTCAGTGTAGTATATATAACTGAGTGGTCTCAGTGTATATATACTGAGTGGTCTCAGTGTATATATACTGAGTGGTCTCAGTGTATATATACTGAGTGGTCTCAGTGTATATATATACTGAGTGGTCTCAGTGTATATATACTGAGTGGTCCTTACAGTGTATTATATACTGAGTGGTCTCAGTGTATATACTGAGTGGTCTCAGTGTATATATACTGAGTGGTCTCAGTGTATATACTGAGTGGTCTCAGTGTATATATACTGAGTGGTCTCAGTGTATATACTGAGTGGTCTCAGTGTATATATACTGAGTGGTCTCAGTGTATATATACTGAGTGGTCTCAGTGTATATATACTGAGTGGTCTCAGTGTATATACTGAGTGGTCTCAGTGTATATATACTGAGTGGTCTCAGTGTATATATACTGAGTGGTCTCAGTGTATATATACTGAGTGGTCTCAGTGTATATATACTGAGTGGTCTCAGTGTATATATACTGAGTGTCTCAGTGTATATATACTGAGTGGTCTCAGTGTATATATACTGAGTGGTCTCAGTGTATATATACTGAGTGGTCTCAGTGTATATATACTGAGTGGTCTCAGTGTATATATACTGAGTGGTCTCAGTGTATATATACTGAGTGGTCTCAGTGTATATACTGAGTGGTGTCTCAGTGTATATACTGAGTGGTGTCTCAGTGTATATATACTGAGTGGTGTATGTCTCAGTGTATATATACTGAGTGGTGCCTCAGTGTATATACTGAGTGGTGTCTCAGTGTATATTACTGAGTGGTGTCTCAGTGTATATATACTGAGTGGTGTATGATTTCATGTTATGTATAATACTGAGTGGTTCTCAGTGTATATATACTGAGTGGTGTCTCAGTGTATATATACTGAGTGGTGTCTCAGTGTATATATACTGAGTGGTGCCTCAGTGTATATATACTGAGTGGTGCCTCAGTGTATATATACTGAGTGGTGTCTCAGTGTATATATACTGAGTGGGTATGTTTTGTGTCTTTAGTGTATATATACTGAGTGGTGCTCAGTGTATATATACTGAGTGGTGTCAGTGTATATATACTGAGTGGTGTCTCAGTGTATATATACTGAGTGGTGTCTCAGTGTATATATACTGAGTGGTGTCTCAGTGTATATATACTGAGTGGTGTCTCAGTGTATATATACTGAGTGGTGTCTCTGTATATATACTGAGTGGTGTCTCAGTGTATATATACTGAGTGGTGTCTCAGTGTATATATACTGAGTGGTTCTCAGTGTATATATTACTGAGTGGTGCCTCAGTGTATATATACTGAGTGGTGCTCAGTGTATATATACTGAGTGGTGTCTCAGTGTATATATACTGAGTGGTTGTCTCAGTGTATATATACTGAGTGGTGTCTCAGTGTATATATACATGAGTGGTGTCTCGTGTATATATACTGAGTGGTTGTCTCAGTGTATATATACTGAGTGGTGTCTCAGTGTATATATACTGAGTGGTGTCTCAGTGTATATATACTGAGTGGTTGCTCTCAGTGTATATATACTGAGTGGTGCTCAGTGTATATTACTGAGTGGTTGTCTCAGTGTATATATACTGAGTGGTGTCTCAGTGTATATATACTGAGTGGTGTCTCAGTGTATATATACTGAGTGGTGTATGTCTCAGTGTATATATACTGAGTGGTGATGTCTCATGTATATATACTGGGGTGGTGTATTTCTCAGTGTATATATACTGAGTGGTGTCTCAGTGTATATATACTGAGTGGTCTCAGTGTATATATACTGAGTGGTGTATGTCTCAGTGTATATACACTGAGTGGTGTATGTCTCAGTGTATATATACTGAGTGGTGTCTGTGTATATATACTGAGTGGTGTATGTCTCAGTGTATATACACTGAGTGGTGTCTCAGTGTATATACACTGAGTGGTGTATGTCTAAGTGTATATACACTGAGTGGTGTATGTCTAAGTGTATATACACTGAGTGGTGTATATCTAAGTGTATATACACTGAGTGGTGTATGTCTCACTGTATATACACTGACAGTTTTCTCTCAGTCCTATTTCACGGATAAAAGTAACTTTGACAGGTGCTGAACGAGTTTTATACAGTCGTAATGACCCTTTATTGTAGTTGAAAGGCTTTAAACCCAATTAACTATTGAAACTAAGTCAGACGGACAGTCTGGAGCCTAATGACATAATTACTGTGTAATTACGTCCCGGTTAGTAGGTATGTTAATTTTGCTAGAGACGGAGTTAATGACAAATGAAGGAATAGTTGTGATTTCTTACATTTAATGATTTCTGGTTAGCAATATCAGTTTGTAAAGAAAATCATCTGCTGTCTCGAGGTGTTTGAAAACGTAAAAGTTGATGTATTCAGGGAAAGGGGTAAAAAAAAAAGTATATTTTAACCCAGACCTGGTCATTAAGATCACAGGCAGGCCATCTATATCCCAAAGACCCACACCAGATGAGAAATCTTTTCAATTTGTCATGGAAACCCACCTGACGCGGGTTTTATATAATGTCCCTATTCAGTGGCTTACTATGAGTAACTAATATAAATTAAGTCAGTGTTTACATAATTGTGGTCTGGACACAAGGTCACAGATTGTGTCTGTGGTTGAGCACTTGGCTTTCCTCATCGCTGACTTGCGACTGCTGAGACGAGGTGTGTATCCCTTGTTCATAGCTATACATTAACCTCATAATGAGAAGGATACTGTATCCCTGGAATACAACACATGCATGGTTAAGACAACCCTATAGTATCATCAGCAGGAGGGAGGAAAAAGTGTTGTTTATCCCTGAGATATATGACACACCTGGTCGTAGGCTGACAATGGCAGACCAGAATTAATATTTTCTTGCCTGGTAGTGTACGTATGACAAGCAGTCTTAATGACACATGCATAGTTAATAGGCTTTAAGCCCCATTAACAAACCAACCTAGGCTAAAGGTCTAAAGATGAAGGAATGGACCATACCAGCCTGGTAATCCACACAATACTATCGGTCCAGCTATAATTCTTAAATATATTCTGCCAGTTGATAACCCTAAATGCTTAACACTAAACACAAAGTGTGTTATGGAACAGTGACTCATCAGTCTTGTTATATTGTCTCTATGTGGGTTCATTAGATGCCTCAAGTAATTATATTGTCTCCATGTAGGTTAAAGTACCTGACGTAATTATATTGTCTCTGTGGGTTCGTTAATTGTCTTAAGTAATTATATTGTCTTTATATGAGTTCGTTAAGGAAACAGGACAAGTGCTTCCTGACGCGATTCTTAGTCATATGATGACCCACAGGTGGAGTTTTTGGTCACCTGATCGAGGGCTTCCACTGGCTTACCGGTCCACCCCTTTAAAAATTATGTTGTAATAACTATCAGATTCTGTGTGTGTGTGTTCGTTAAGTGTCTTAAGTTATTATAGTGTCTTCGTGGTTCGTTAAGTGCCTTAAGTTATTATAGTGTCTCTGTGGTTCGTTAAGTGCCTTAAGTTATTTTAATGTCCCTGTGTGGGTTCGTTAAGTGTTTTAAGTTATCATAGTGTCTATATGGGTTCGTTAAGTGCCTTAAGTTATTTTAATGTCTCTACTGACACGATTGCAAACAAACCATACCACGGGCGGGGTTAGAACCCGCGATCAGAGTCTCAAAACTCCAGACCGTCGCGTTAGCCACTGGACCAGCTAGCCACAATAAGATTCGTTGTTGTGGCTAGCTGGTCCAGTGGCTAACGCGACGGTCTGCAGTTTTGAGACTCTCTGATCACGGGTTCTATCCCCGCCCGTGGTATTTTTTTTTAATGTCTCTATGTGGGTTCGTTAAGTGCCTTAAGTTATTATAGTGTCTCTGTGGGTTCGTTAAGTGCTTTAAGTTATTATAGTGCCTCTATGTGGGTTCGTTAAGTGCCTTAAGTTATTATAGTGTCTCTATGTCGGTTCGTTAAGTGCCTTAAGTTATTATAGTGCCTCTATGTGGGTTCGTTAAGTGCCTTAAGTTATTAGTGTCTATGTGGGTTCGTTAAGTGTCCGAAGTTATGTTCACTATGTCGCAAGTACTATTAGATTAGCATATAATTTACTGTTGGTCCTATTATTTTCTACAGTTCCTGGTTTATATTTCTTACTGTTATTATAGACGGTGTTTGCCTGCAGGAACTCACTCCACAGACGACATTTTTGTCTGATAATAATATTGGATATAATAGTTTACCATTTTTGTCCCCCTGAAATGCAAATCACAATATTTTTTTCTGAAAATACTTAGTGAACATAATATTGAAAAAATAATGAAAATTTGGTAAAATAATTCTGTATTAACTATTTGTATTAATCATATACCGTAATAGCCACAAATCTTCATATAAAATAAATTTTATAATCACAGATTTTTTTTTCAGAATGAGTTACGTAATCCACAAAAAAAAATTAGATAAAAAACGGCAACAATGGTTATAAATGACCATAATTTTTAAAGGGGTGGACCGGTAAGCCAGCGGAAGGCCTCGGTCAGATGACCAAAATCTAAAACCCGCGTCAGGAAACACTTGTCCTGTTTCCTGACGAACCTAACCTAACCTAATTAGATAAATCCCTCCAAAAAATACCTTCAAGCGTAAAATCCATTACTTTTAAATCCTGTGGAGAAGCACTTTCACTCCATCTCACCTTGCTTTACCGAGAAAATAGGATTATTCCAATGAATTCCTTTAAACACGCTTATAAATGAGAACAAACAGACCTTAATGCCCCCCAACATACCATTTTAATTTGGAACATGTGATTTCTGGCCCCTGAATGTAATAGACTTGAGAGGGAGGTAAGGTCCAGCTTATATGTCCAGGAGCGCCCCGCCGCGCATCCACACACGACCAAAGTTACCAAGACACTGAGGGTCTCCTGGCAGGCCAGTCCTGAGATAGAATTAAAATCCCATTAGTTAAGATGCCAACGTGTGAATATAGAACATTAGTTTTGTGGTGGGTGTGCTGGCATGGGCATTCCTAGAGTCATCTAGTGGGTAGAGAGGGGTAACTTCGGTAGATTCTCGACGATTAAGCTCCCGGGTTTGGGGAAATATCTTATAAATATTGGATTTCTTTCTTGAACTAGGATGGCTGAACCCAGCGAGATGTGACGGCCAGATTGGGCACAGCATCCAGCCTCCTTAGTTACCACCTCGCATACCAATTACATTTTTCAAACGTTCAATTAAATTAAAAGGATGACCCTCATATTCTGAGGATTTTACACTACATTTGTCCCTGTGCACGAAAGGACTTCCTGCCTCACTGTCATATATCACCAACTTGTGGAGAAAATATTGTAAGAACCTGTGGACCCGAGGCGCCCGGTGCACCTGTCAGAATTACTTTGTATTATTTTTTTTACCGATGTATCGACGTTTTTTTATGCCTATAGCCTGGCGAACGTCAGTTTTTTTTTTTATTCGCCGGTATTCTCCCGCCCGGGTCTTTTCCAAGTAGTGGTGACCCGGCCTTGGCTCCCTATCTGGGGAGTATCTCGAGACTTAAGTCTCCCATGGGAGGAGGTACAAGTACCTCCTCATCTTTGGGACCAAGTGTCCCCAGGCCTAGCCACATTCCCCGCCCTCACGGGGCTCGTAGGGAGAAGCTAGGCCTCTGGTCTGCCATCTACCCCGCCTCAAAGGGGCTCGTGGGGATGGCAGTCTTATGAGCTGCAGATGGTAGCAAGCTCAGGCCTCTTTTTACTACAAAACGTCAGTTCATCACTATTTATCTTAAAACACTGGATTTTTTTTAAAGTGGCGTGGAGAAATATAAATATTACAGTAGGTAATGTTATATTTAATATTTTAGGAGGTGGGGTGGTAAGGCCTTCGTCAAATGACTGAAAGCTATACTGAGTAAATCGCTTTGCATATAGTATTAAGTAGCGTATGTCTCTCTTGCAGAACATTCACTTTTAGGGATGTGTGTGCCAGTGTGGATATAATTATTTCGTATTTTAGGGATTAAATTATCCTTCACTGGTGACATGCAACCTGAATGATTGTGTAGTTGATGGATTTGGATGAGGATATCTACATCGAGAGATGTGTATTTATACACATCTCCAATCTTTTAATCCCTATACACATCTCCAATCTTTTAATCTATACATATACACATCTCCAATCTTTTAATCCCTATTTAAAAGATTGGAGTATTTCTGACTGGTGAACAGATGACTTGCAGTCTTAATGACCTTTTTGTAGTCGGTAAGCTCTGGTTTAAACCTTGATAATAGGTACCGACAAGTTGGTTTAGAAAAACACAAGCAAAAACTAGGACATGTTTATTAGAAAACGTTTTCTAGTACTAGTGTTAGCTTACGTGTCTTCCGGTAAGCTTGAAACCCAGGTAATCAGTCAACCAATAATGTAATCGACAGGCGTTAAACCAGGTTAAATCGACACCATGCCTAACCCTTCTAGGGTAGGGTAGGTGCCCGAGTCTGAGCCTTTAGCTCACAAGACTGTCATTCCCATTAGCCTCCTTAAGGCGGGGATGGCAGACCAGAGAGGCCTAGCTTGTGGCTAGGCCTGGGGACAGTTGGTCCCAAAGATGAGGAGGTACTTATGCCTCCTCCCATGGGAGACTTAGGTCTCAGACACTCCCTAAAGAGGGAGCCAAGGCCGGGCCACCACTTGGAAAAGGCCCGGGCCGGGAGAATACCGGCTAATCTTTAATAATAATAATAAATAAACCAGGTTAATAAACCATGATATAAGAAACCATGCTTTCAAGACCACACTGGCGGACGGGTTCTACAAACGTAAATACCCACTAATAATTTAAATCTCTTCAGGGAGATTTGATCCAAGGAATCTAAGCTAATCTTCTTTATCCTTTCTCAGATTAAACCTCACTGAAATATCTTCACAAATAATTATTTTCTCCTATGTATGGAATAAACCATCCTGAGAGACGGCAATTCCCAAATGATAGTAACTCCAGCTCTGTTGGAGGGAAATCCTTGAAGCTCCGTAGCTGATTAACGCTTACTGGAATGCTTAATAATATCATCATTGCTCTACTGAAGTCTTCCAGCTCAGGTTGACTATACTGAAGTCTTCCAGCTCAGGTTGACTATACTGAAGTCTTCCAGCTCAGGTTGACTATACTGAAGTCTTCCAGCTCAGGTTGACTATACTGAAGTCTTTCAGCTCAGGTTGACTATACTGAAGTCTTCCAGCTCAGGTTGACTATACTGAAGTCTTCCAGCTCAGGTTGACTATACTGAAGTCTTCCAGCTCAGGTTGACTATACTGAAGTCTTTCAGCTCAGGTTGACTATACTGAAGTCTTCCAGCTCAGGTTGACTATACTGAAGTCTTTCAGCTCAGGCTGACACTACTGAAGTCTTTCAGCTCAGGCTGACACTACTGAAGTCTATCGCCGCAAACTGACACATTGTGACCCATCCTGCATAACAGGATATTACGGGAAACGGCTTTTGTTCCTATTGTGTAAACTACCATATAGAACAAGGCAACAGCATACTGCTGATGTATCCAGTTTGGTTAAACTGATTATCTCCCATTCCTTAATCTATACGATCCCTAAGGGCTTAGCGCTTCCCTGTGAATATCATCAAACTAACTCATTATATATGTTGAAGAGTGCGTGAAGGAGCTGACTTGTGGCTAGCCTTAATGACTCGCGGATTACTTAGTCTTCTTTATCATAAAAACTAGGAGAGCCTCTCCAAATTTCCACACTAATTCTTCTCCTACGTCGTCATAAGTTTCCTCTCCTAAGTGCGGGTTATTTGTGAATCCTCCTCCTTCAGGATACGCGCACCTCATACATAGGCTTCTGATCCTGAAGACTACATGGACTGTAGTGTGGCTGGCATACTTGGGATCAGAGCCCATCCATTTCTGAAAGGATAATTAAGGCTTATGTCACCTATTCACAACCAGACAACAAAACTTGACCCCTTATCTAAGGGATTAAAGTGTACATACACCTCTCGGTGTATATATTTTGGATAGTGTGTTATTGCTTACTTTTGTTATCTTGATTCACTCATGATTGATGCTAAATCCATTCATTTCAATTCTGCTAGGGGGGATTATGTTTTATACTACATTTACTATCGTTACCCCCTCAAGTGAGCTATGATGCAGATGTGGATTTATTCACTCAAGGAACTTCAGCTACCCTCGGCTTCCTTGGGTCAAATCAGGATAACTATTGTTCTTGAGGGCTCAGTTATCGTTGAACTCAATTTTTTTTTTATTCGCCGGTATTCTCCCGGCCCGGGTCTTTTCCAAGTAGTGGTAACCCGGCCTTGGGTCCCTATCTGGGGAGTGTCTCGAGACCTAAGAACTCAATACTGAGTTTAACGATATCTGATAGCCCATATCCCTCATTATTTGGGAACCAAAAAAATATGGGAGTATGAGACTCAATCTCTAAAGAGTTTACCGTTTTCTATAAATAAATGATAATAATAATAATAATAATAATAATAATATATCTTTATTTCTACAAGTAATGTTTTTCCAGCCGCACCGTAGATACGAACTCCGGACCTCAGTGTGCGAGCCGAGTGCGCTACCGATCGAGCTACGGGACACAAATATGTGCCCCTTATGATTTTCTTTCAGCTGTTCTGTTCCTAGGTATCATATGTAAAGTGAAAACGAAGCTGTTTACATCCTTTGAGGTCATATTCGTACTTAATAAGACTTGTGATGATGAGTTAAAGTTTGGTGAAGGGGGAATGGAGACGTACTGGGCAATCCATTAGGGTTCTGTAATTGTTCGTAGAAAAGTTAAGAGCCCCAGGTGTAGATGACCCGTTTATGATATAGGGAGATAAGCAGATTTAGCCATGTGTCTCGTAACACTGACTCCTGTCTTAAAGGTATTCTATAACAGGAGTCACTGATAATTTATTTTATATCTACGACGAACGTAAGGCATGAGACTGATTTGACTCATCACCAGAAATGAGTGGAATTGAATAACTTCATTATCAGAAATGACGGGAACTAAATTATCATCAGGAATGTCTGTAACTGAATAACCTTATCATCAGGGATTACTGGTGTGAATTATTATTATGTGAGCAAATTACCTGCACGAGGTTTACAGGGCATTACCTGAATTATTACAGGCAAGTAATTTGGGTGAGATAAGTGGGACTTAAGTCACAGTAGGTCGCAGGACTGTAACTCCCTCAATGCCCTCTCCCTACCACTCTCGCAAAAAGCTAGACCTGACGTTAAATTAATTGCAAACCAGCTACTCTGGTAATTTAATCATTATAACCAGCTACTCTGGTAAATTAATAATTATAACCGGGTACTCTGGTAAATTCAAGTTGTGGACTGTATATGATTAAGCTTGCTGGGTACACAAAAGAAATTTGTATTAACCACTTACCATTTAATTACTGTAGATGGATCACACCACAACACCTGCCTGGCACCTAGACCCTACACTAGCTGGTTAGAGATCTAAACAAAAGGACTAATGTTGCACTTCCTTGTGAATGATGGTTGTATCCCTTATCTTTGTCATTCACACGTAATTCTTGAGGTCCTGCAAATTTCCTGTCCTAATTCTTCAGCAGGAGACATTAACACGGGTTCCTATTACAAATTCAGGCCGAAAAACCCCAATTTGGCCACGAAGACGCCGGCTTATTAGTTGAATTTTCCACGACAATCAGTGCCCACAAATTACATACAAATGGCGTCTCCCCACTCAGCAGCCAGTCTCCACCCCCCCCCCACTCGAAATTTCAAGAAAGCGTCAAATAAGCATCGTATTTTATTACACAATTATTGCATTCAAATTTACACATGCTGAATTTAGGAAAATCCAAAATTTTCCACAACTGTATCTGAAT